CAGTTAGTACTATCATCACATGAGTTTAAAGAAGTAATGGCAGATAAACAATTAAGATCAGACTTCTTTACCCAGATTTTTTGTTGAGTTGTATTCACTAAATCAACCTTTATCTTGGGTTTTTGAGACGACACAAAAGTGTGATCAATTTTAGCGGAAAGTGGTGAGCGGGCCATTATTCTTTTAACCATTTTCAAGTACTTAAAACACCTGGGTCGAATATGACCAGCAACATGACAAAAATGACAAATAGGCACAAAACGTTTTCTTTGAAATGACTGTTTTGGCGCAACTGTCGCAACAGTCTGTGAAACAGTGCATTGTTTAACAAAATTGATTTTTCCTATTGGATCTTCTTTCTGTTTCAAAGCATCATCAGATAGTTTATCACCCCTTACACCTAGATGACCATAGTTCGGCTGATTTGTTCTCAAAATTTCATTCAAATTTACCTTACCTGTATTTAATTTTGAAATAGAATCTTGGGTTTTAGCAAATTTAGCCTTCAAACTATCTGTTTCTCTACTAGCAGAAATAACATTTTGTTCAAGAGTAGAAATTCTTTCCTTCAATACTTTGTTTTCCTCAATTAGGACAAGCTTCTCTTTTTCTAAGAATTTATTCGACTCGCATACCTGAAGAAATTTTTCGTACATCCTTTCATAGCACTCCTTTAATTCTTCCAAGAATGACGCGTCATCATCGCTGTTGTTTTCTGAATCCCAATCATCACCTGCAAGATTTAACGGAGTTAATCTTTTATCAGATATTGAGTGCAACTTATCATACCTAAGTTCTGTCTGAACAGTTTGTCCAACTGTTGCAACAGTTTTAGCGACAGTGTCTTTGCACTCGCTTATCTGAGTAGTTCCTTCGTAGGTCTCTTGTAGAACATCCCATGCCTCCTTTGCTAATTTGCACATTGATATCAATTTGAATTGTTCTTCATCGATACAACTCAAGATAGCATTGGTTGCCTTGGAATTATAATCTGCTTTTCGTACTTCTTCATCACTCCACTTCTCTTTTGGCGTTTGAATGATCTCGTGTGACTCATTCATTGAGGTAGGAGGTGTCCAACCAATTAGAATCGCGCGCCAGGCCCATTCATCAATAGATTTGATGAACATCTTCATCCTTATTTTCCAATCAGAGTAGTTTAATTCACCCAAGAGAGGTGGTAGGAATGCGCCTTCACGATGATTATTCATGTCTGCACAAAAAAAATAAAAAATAATTAAATCCCAAAATCTCACTAAGTATATCTAGTGACAGGCTCTTGATGCCAATTGTTAGAATTTATTTCGTGCAGATATAAATTATTTGTGTCAGATTCAGTTTTTCGTTACTGTTGCGTGAAGTGTTGCAACAGTTCGTGAAGCAGTTCGTAAAAACCGAAATAAACGAGACACAAATTTTAATGTGGTTCGGATACAATTGTACCCTACATCCACGGGGACCTGCAAATAAAATTTACTAATTTTTAGTTTTACGAATACAATAATAGGACTTAATCGAAATACAAAGACTCCCTCTTTGTCGACGCCGTTCTTGTATACTACGCTGAATTATAAATCTTCAATTTGCAGCACGTCCCTTGCTCCGCACGGTTGAACTCCCTTCAACGCTGAATCCCTCAGTCGGCGGATCGATCTCCTCCCGAGATCTGTTTAAGCCCCTCTCCCGAAGAACCGATCTTCTTTTTGTATAGAAGAAGCAAACTTGTGATACTCCTTGAATCTTGGTGTCTTCACCACAAAGCCTTGAAGCCGATATATTTTCTATGAAAATCACGTATCACAACGGAGCAATAAAAACGAGAGGAAAAAATATTTTCTCTTGAACTTCTCTCGATAAAAAGAATACACTAAACTACGTTCATGCTCATTCTTTTATAGTCTGGGAAAACTCCTGTATTAGGTTACACAAAGTTAGAGACGTAGAAGGAATTATCTTTTTAAAAGATATGGAATAAGAAGAGTCCATGCCTTATTAAAATATTGCCATCCTAATCTAATGGAAATTCCCATGCAAACATACAACCAATTAATGACAATAAAATATAAAAGATAATTAAGAAAATCTTTTACTTCTTGAAAAATCATACGCACACACAATGACTATTGGATAGTTTTGATGCACATAAACTCTTTTTGATTAATAAAATAGTTTCCTATATAAAAGAAACAATTAATGACAAATTAAAGAATTTAAGTAAACAAGGAGACTTCCCTTTTGTGTTTCACGGTACACATGACTTGTTGCACAAGTCTTTACTCATCCCTTGTTTATTAGAATCCAATTAGATTCTAACACTTACTTTACGTGACCTGACAAAAACCCTATGAATCAAGTAACTTTACCCTATAATTAATCAATGTCAAATACCAAACTCTATTGATAAGGATTAATAGTAGTTACTTTTATGCTAAATATTACCATTAAAAAGGGTAAGCATATTTATGTTATGCACTTATATGCTTGTTATCAATTAAAATAGACTCAATTTCAATAAAATAAATGGGGAAAATTCGCTAAAATTCATTCAAAAATATTTAGCAAAGCTAAGAGTCCACTCGGGTATTTTTAATTTCCTAAAAGTTTCTCGGGCAGCTTAATTGGACAATTTAGTTGGTAAATAGCCCTGAGGTAAAGTCTAATTAATTAAGAATATTGCAATTTACCCCCTACGTAACTAATATACTTTACATTATCCCTCAATGACAAAAATGTCATTTTTGGAGTAATATTCCATAGAATAAAAAAGATTATGTGAAAAGTAACATCCTAGGGGGACTAAGTACGACTACTACATACCTCGGGGAAATTTTTATAATTACACAAACGTAAGAGAGATTTTCATAATTAAACCGTACATCACTAGATTAATTCTCGTAATTTGCCCATTAATTTATGTTGAAATGCACTATATATGAAGGTCATTTGAAATCTTTTATCTTAGATGTAACTAAAATTCAATAAAAAGTTGTGTTAGCTTTAGCATAAAAAAGTGGTTGGTTCAATATATTCCAAGTTTCCAAGGACAAGAAAGAAAACGTATGCATGCATCTAACTATAATTCAAACCATACCTATATATAATATGTATGATTATCTTAATTGTGAAGAAAATGTTTAATGCACACACCATTATATTATTCAACACTTGTACAAAAGTTATCTCATAGCTAGGGAACATGATTTAATATTTTGGTTATGTCACATATCATATCATTTCTTTTTTTCTTAAATAACATTATCCTTCACTTAAAAATGGGAAAACAAGCTTGTAAGTATATCATTGTTAAACTTCTTCACCTAATACTAGAAAGAAAAAATGGACAATTTGATATTATCTAACATTAGAGAATTCTAAAAGCTAGTAATTGGTTGAAACTCATCTGATTTAGAGCATGTCTGTGTAGCTTATTTTAAACAACAGATAAACTCTCACATTTAACAAGTTGTTTTAAGAGTTGATAAGTTATTACGTCTTATTTTTAGAATTAATCTTTATAATGTTTTGATAATGATCTTATAAGGTAGTTTTACTCATTATAAGATCTTAAATAAAAAAATGAGATATAAGTATTTTTAAATATCTTATTTGCTCTCGACAGTTTATTTTTTGAATTTTGATTTTTTTTTAAAGTTAGCAAACACTTTGGAAGTGCTTACAAGCTTTTAAACATCTCATAAGCTCTTTTCAACAGCTTATAAGCTTAGTCACAACATCTGATATTGGTACATTTAAAAGAAGATGGACTAAAATGAAACAAAATATATATTTTGAGGACTAGCAATGAGATTTGACCATTATTCTATAATTGAAAGTTTTCGCAAACAATCCCAATATCAAATTCACAATCCCTACTTCGAATTTTTTTATATATATTTCTAATTGTTGTACACTTCTAAATATATATGGGTGAAAAGTGAAACATAATTTTGAATTTCTTCGATTTCGATTCGAAATAATATTTTGCATTTTGGATTTCAAAATTTTTAACCCCCCACCCCCCCCCCCCCCCCTCGAAATTATACACATAAAATAGACATTATGTATTATATATATTAAGGCTAATAAAAAAATAGAATTTTGAATTCTGGCTGATTTGGATAAAACAAATTACGATTTTGGAACAAACTTTTTCATTCCAATTTCCGAGATCCCAATTATTTTTATAAAATATATTTGGAAAAAGAACTGAAATTCGTTTTTCACTTTTGGATCCGATGAATCTGATTCACACCCTACTTCCCTTAAATTACTCCGATATTTCACCCCCAAGAAAACCCCTCTGGGTCCGCTCCTGGTTTATCCAGTGTACCAATATGTATAATCGAATCCAGAAACCCAGAAAAAAAATAAGTTCATTGTACATTGACCAATGATTAGCAAAAAAATGTGTCAAGTGCATTGGTTCTTGTTATTGAGCATGGGTGATAACATCACCCTATGACTTTAGTATTGTGTTTGTTTTTCAAAGATTAATTAATTCAACAGTTCAACACTTCATCAGTTAATCTTGTGAGTGAAAACGGAAGATTAATTATTTTATGATTTTATTCATTTATTTTATTGGCTATCCTTTTTGACTCACCAAAATTATAAAAAATAAATAAAATTGTATTATGTAAAAGAAGGAAAATAAATATAGTACAAATTAGAATATATTGACCCCTGTCAAGGTTTTATTCATGAAGAGGTTTTATCTGGGGACGACGTCTTAAATATGATGCTGCATTATTTGTTGTAGTATGTAAACCGTGTCACGTTTTGATTTGATTTGAAGTTTATTAAATACATAGTAAGAAACCAATCAAATTGTGTTAAATTTTATGTATCCAAAATATATTAAGTTTGTGCATTGAATTGATTAAAAAAAAAAGGAAAAATAATTAACCAACCAAATTGTGACTTCTCTTGCAAAAATAAATCAATTCAAGTTGATATCTTGTGATATATGTCCATATTTTTAAGGAGCTAATTAAATTGTGTCACGTCACTAGAGAAGCTTATCTAGTATTTTTGTTCAATATAAATACGGACCATTCCTTACAATTCAAGAAAAAAAAGAAAATCGTACGAGCGAATTCTCTCTATACATTCAAGGTGTTATCCGTCAAATTGAAGGTGTTTTTCACCATATTCAGTGCGTTCTTCGTCAAAATACGGCGTTTGATTCAAGATTATGGGTGCTAAAAATCAAATTCGAATGAGATCAAGTCAATGACGCGACTCCAAATTTATGAATTCAAATTTATATTGTTCTTAAGAGAATAATTATATGACTAAATTAGAGACTGTAAGCCAAAATATTCATTTGATTCAATAACGACGACACACATCAATAGGGAAAAGCGCGCACATATCCAAGTCGTACGCAATACAACCGGTCGGACCCGACTTATCTCAAACTAATAATTCTGACATAAGTTGGTCACAATCCAAACAATATGAGTCCAAAATTAACTCACTTTAATAACATAGATCTAAGTCGACCAACGTTGGAGATTCGAATTTAGACGATTCATTTCACTAACAATTTAAAGTTTAAACCTTCCGATTGAGGTACGGTGAACAAATTTTGAAGAAGCTCGATTTTATTTATGACATAATTTCCCAAAAAAAAAAAGAGAAAAACAAAAAAACAAAAAGCACCACTTCTTTTCGGTATTTACTTTTTAACCCCTCCTTTACCGATGCTTCGTTCTGCTGCATCTCTGATTCTCTGCACCACCACGTATATTCCCTTTTTACAAAACCATGGAGTACAAGTAAAAACCGCTTTTAAATTATATTAATTTTCCCCATCGTCAATTTTTTTTTTATTGTAATTACTTTTGTTTGGTTGCATGCGTTTGGGCAGCAGAAAAAAAAACAGTTATTTATGCTTACTCACCGCACCACTATCTTTCCCCCACACCACACCAATCCTCTCTGCAGAGTTTGTTTCTCCTACATTAAATACCAAAACAAAAAAACCTTAAAATACAAACAAACATCCCTCTCTCTCTCTCTCTCTCTCTCTCTCTCTCTCTCTTTCTCTCTCTTGTTTTTGCTCTCTTCTAGCTACATTGTGAAAAAAGGCACAATCTTTGAAATCTTTTCGCACTCAATTCAAATACCCATTTGCTCCAAACTGATTTAATCACTCTTTTTCAACTATTTAACAAATGGGCTGCCGCTAATTTTGTCGGAATCATCCCAATTTTCTTGAATTTTGAAGGGCAAAAATTTCTGTTTTTTCTCACAAATGGGTTGCCGTTAAATAGCTATCTGCTTCCTTTTTCTTTTTGTCCGAACAGCTTTTAGATAATATAGTGTCTGTGTAGTGTACCATGTAATTGATCTTGGGGTTTTTCTGCATTTTCGTGCTCATGTGTAGAAAGGTGCTTTCTTTAATGTAAGAAAGAAAGTGTGTGTTGACTGTGATGGATCTGAGGTTTACTGAAGTCAACCGTTAGTTTAGTATAATTAATAATTAATCTCTCTTGCAATGGTAATAATTTGTTCAGTCCGCTAATTTCTTGAGTTCTTGATCAGCAATGAATTCATTTCCTTAAAAAAAAAAAAAAAAAAAAATCATATGCTCATTCAATCTCACTCTGTTCATTGCTGACCAATTCTTTTGTTCTTTGTAGTTAGAAACCCGGACACTATTCTTTCCAAATTATTCGAAAAAAAATGTAATTTTTTTTTTAAAATGTAATTATTGGCCTTTCGAGTCACCTTCGAATTCGTGTTTCGACTTCCCATTTCATCATTAAAAAAATAGAAAAAATAAAAAAATCTGCCCTTTATTTGGTTGATTTTGGATATTATCATGGAGGAAACATTCGTTCCGTTTCGCGGTATAAAAAACGATCTCAAAGGAAGGCTTCTTTGTTACAAACAAGATTGGAGTGGCGGATTACGCGCAGGTATCAGGTTCGTGCTCGTTTTATTATATTGTCCATATTAATTTCTTGTCTTAACTCTTACATGTTATATCTCCTTTATATTGTATTTTGCATATTCTATAATTTATACGATATTCGAAGAGATGCCTTTACGAATTATCAGCATAATAATATTCTCTTACAGGATCTTGGCTCCCACCACATACATATTCTTCGCATCGGCAATTCCCGTTATATCTTTCGGGGAGCAACTCGAAAGAAACACCGGTAACTTCACCCTTTTTTTTTTTTTTTTTTCGGTTCGAATTTTTTAGCATCTTAATTTTTATTAGAATCTTTGTAACAAAAAAAAAAAAAAAAAAACTAATTTTTATGCAGATGGAACTTTAACAGCAGTGCAAACACTTGCATCAACTGCACTTTGCGGTGTAATACACTCGATCATAGGTGGACAGCCACTACTCATACTAGGTGTAGCGGAGCCCACTGTCTTAATGTACACTTTCATGTTCGATTTCGCTAAAGATCGAAAAGATTTGGGCCCACAGCTTTTCTTGGCCTGGACTGGATGGTAATAATGTTTCTTACACTCACGAGAGATTTTTTTTGGTATATTCGAGTATTGAAATCTTGAAGAACTTGTTGTTTTTTGTTTAGGGTTTGTGTGTGGACTGCCCTTTTGCTTTTCTTGCTAGCTGTACTGGGCGCGTGCTCGATTATCAACCGGTTTACGAGGGTTGCTGGTGAATTGTTCGGTCTCTTAATCGCGATGCTCTTTATGCAGCAGGCCATTCGTGTGAGTATTCTTTAAAAAAAAAAATGCATCGTTTCTGCATCTCTTTATTATCACCAATAACTGCCGTTTGTACTGTTTCGTCTAGTGTCCGTTTTTTTCGTTGCTTTATATTTTCTTCGTTTTCCGTTTTTTTAGGGACTCGTGGAGGAGTTCGGCATTCCTCAGAGAGAAAACGTAAAGGAGGCTGAATTCTTACCTTCGTGGAGATTCGGAAACGGAATGTTTGCGTTGGTTCTTTCCTTTGGCCTTCTCCTTACTGCTTTGAGTAGCCGAAAGGCTCGTTCGTGGCGTTATGGAGCTGGTATATTTATACATACACGCGCATGTATCTGACTAGCAATAAACTTTTGAAAAAAAATAGAACGCAAAAATTTAATATACGTTCTTGATTATTTCCAATGCTCAAAATTTAATCTTTTGACCATAACTCTAATTTTGAAGGATGGCTTAGAGGATTTATCGCTGATTACGGGGTCCCGTTTATGGTGCTTGTGTGGACAGCTGTCAGTTACATACCGGTTAACGATGTTCCACACGGAATTCCGCGTAGGCTTTTTAGCCCTAATCCGTGGTCGGCCGGTGCATACTCAAACTGGACAGTCATTAAGGTTGTGCGAAAAAGACTTTGTACAAACACAATTTATTCGAACTTGTTAAAATGTTTTTAATTATAACACCATTTTTTTTACGAGCAGGACATGTTGAAAGTACCTCCACTTTATATTATCGGAGCATTTATTCCCGCAACAATGATCGCTGTACTGTACTACTTCGATCACAGCGTCGCTTCACAACTTGCTCAGCAGCAAGAGTTCAATCTAAAGAAGCCCTCTTCGTACCACTACGACCTTCTTCTATTGGGTTTTCTGGTAATTTCATGAATTTTTTTATTTTTTTTATAAATATATATTGTTTTTTTTTTTCTCAATACTTATTACAATAAAATTTTCATACTGTATATAGGTCATACTATGTGGTCTAATCGGCATTCCTCCTTCGAACGGAGTTATTCCACAATCCCCGATGCACACGAAAAGTCTCGCCACTTTGAAACATCAGGTAATAATATTCAGAAATACTAATAAATTTAATATTGAATTATTTAATTAATGAAATTAATTTCGTTTTCATTTGTTTAACAGCTTTTGAGGAATAAGCTCGTGTCGACCGCACGTGACAGCATTCAGAAAAACGAGAACTTATCTCAGCTCTACAGAAGCATGCAAGACGCGTACACCGAAATGCAGACGCCGCTTGTTCATCAAACTTCATCTGCTCCAGTATATACGCACGCTTTTTTATTACTACGTAAAATAAATCCGATTAAAATGTCATTAATTTAATTTATTTTTTAAAAAAAAAAACAGGGATTAAAGGAGCTGAAAGATTCGACGATTCAACGAGCCTCGAGTAGTGGATACATAGATGCACCGGTCGATGCAGCTGTTTTCGACGTGGATAAAGATATAGACGAGCTTTTACCGGTTGAAGTTAAAGAACAAAGGCTTAGTAATTTACTTCAAGCTTTAATGGTGGGAACTTGTGTAGCTGCTATGCCGTTGTTGAAAAAGATTCCGACTTCAGTCCTTTGGGGATACTTCGCTTTCATGGCGATCGAGAGCTTGCCCGGAAATCAGTTTTGGGAGAGGATTTTATTGCTTTTTACGGCTCCGAGTCGAAGATACATGTAAGTGCTTCCGTACACTCGTGTCTGAAAACAAAATGTATCGTGTTAGATAATATTTCGGGCATAAAAAAAATCCGATTTTTTCGTTGTTTTAGGAGTTCAAATGCATAGCCTACATTCTTTTTACCAATTTTACCCTTGATTGTTAATTGGAAAGAGAGGAGTGTGCTATCAATTAATAGTGAGATGATCTTTTAAGAAGGGTAATTTTGGGTTTTTCTTGTCAAAATTAAAGCTGTTTCATGAGTTTCTTATTATTGCATCCCCCACCCCTGTGTTTATTCTAATTGTTAAAAATGCCACCGTATTATTAAAATTACCAAAAAAAAAACCCATAAAAAATCACCGTCGAGGGTTTGTGTGCTAAAAAAAGTTGTATTACAGATGGGTTTTTGCTGATATTAATAACACGAGAATTTTTTTAGCAATTCGATGCAACGCAAGGGTACTAAATGCAATAAACTCAATATAAGCATACATGTTTATATAACTATCGACCGAAATTCGAAGATCTTCTTTGACTCGTTAAACTAATAATGGTGGCAGGGTTCTAGAAGATTATCATGCAACCTTTGTGGAGACGGTGCCATTTAAGACAATAGCGTTCTTCACGTTGTTTCAGACATTTTACTTGCTCCTTTGTTTCGGTCTGACGTGGATTCCGATAGCCGGTGTTTTATTCCCGTTGCTGATTATGCTTCTCGTGCCCGTGAGACAATATTTGCTTCCGAAATTTTTCAAAGGAGCCCATCTTCAAGATTTGGATGCTGCCGAGTACGAAGAAGCTCCTGCTATTACTTACAACTTAACCTTTGAAGTAAGTCTCGTTTTTTTCATTTTTCTGTTTTTTTTTTTATAAATATTACTAGTAGCGGCAGAGCCAAAATTTTGCGTTCGTGGGGGCCAAATATAAACTATTTTTTTTCGAGGGGGTCGACAATAATACACTACTCGAAAAATATTTTTTTTTTTGAGAAGCGGTGGGGGGCCATGGCCCCCCGTAATCGTAGGTGTTTCTTCAAAGTCATTATTGCATATTGGGTTCGGATGATGAAAATGTGAAATACTTGGGCAATGTTGGGTAAAATAAGAGTTTATTGCATTTAGTTACCCTGTGTTATATAGAATTGCTAAAAATTCCTCGTGTTTATAAATATTAGCAAAAAAGTCCCTATAATGCATTTTTTTAGCACACAACTCCCTAAAAATGGTGATTTTTTAAGGGGTTATTTGCTAAAATCTCATCTCAAAATGAAATTTATTTTCGTTATTTTTTTCTAATCCAGGAACAAGGTAATAACAATCAGCCACAACCAACGAATCTCGATAGCGGTGAAGTGTTCGACGAAATAATCACGAGAAGTCGCGGCGAGATACGACACGGTCGCAGCCCGAAAGTAACGAGTAGCTCAACTCAATCACCGAGAGAGGAAATGAAGTCCGTTTACAGCCCGAGAATATCTCGGGCGGGGCATAGTCCTCGTTTGAACGAAATAAGAATGGAAGTGGGGCCGAGATTGAGCCCGAGTCCTAGGCCGTCTGTACTAGGTCAAACTAGCCGCCGTGGTTCGTCGTCGTCTTCTTGAATCTTGATCCCATGTTATTATTACAGTGAATGGTGCTCGAGAGGTCTTAATTATGCAGAAGATTACAGTAAATTATTATATTTTTAGTAGGTGTTTGTTTTTGTCTAACTTGTCTCGACAGTTTTTTTTTTTTTTTTTTCCTATGTTGTTGTAAACCTTTGATTCTCCTCTGGGCAGACGATATTTTGACGATATAATGGAGAGATATTTATTACAAAATGTCATGTCTTTATTGTTTTATTTTTCTTTGGCAAATTACGGCCACCCCTGAGGTATGGCTAAATTACAAAAAAACTTTTTTGTTTGGGTAATTACAGTCACCCCCTTCTTTTAAATATTTTTACATAAAACTTGTGTAACTCGGTTATTTACCGAACCAAATCGTATATTTAGTTCGGTAAATGGTATGAAATGTTGGCGTACCGAAATTTTGGTTCGGTTTTACCGAATTAACATCTCTAAATTTGCCTATGGAGGGATCTTTTCGTAATATAATGCATAGTTGAGGCTGGTGGCTGTAATTACTCAAACAATAGGGGAGTTTTTGTAATTTGATCATAACTCATGGGGCTGGCCGTAATTTACTTTTTTTTCTTAAATCAAAGTTAAACCTCGTGATTGATGCACTTTTAAATACTTCTTTATGTCAGTAAAAATTCGTTCTCAGTGCTCCCGTTTCTTGGCCCGACATGTTTGATGAATGATGTAAATTATGGTCACTCAATGGTCTGTATCGGCAGTGGACATGGGTCTGGTGCTCACAAGGAAACCAAACCACATATGAGTTCGAATTATTGGAGATATTAATATTAAATGATACATTTCATTACCAACTTATTTTGGTTGAGATGGTCATTCAACAAGGTAGAGTCAGGATAAAATAAAATGTCTTGAGTTCGAATCCAATATGGTTTTCTCGGTGAAAACTGAACGGTTTGGATCAAAATCAGTATTTTTGCGGAAGAGGAATCCTAATTCCACAATTGTTCCAGAAAAAAAATCAAAAAAATCAGAATTTCGAAAATTGGACTTTACAAAACTTGTTCGAAAAAATCGGAAACTTTTGGAATCGGAATCTATTTGGTCAATGTTCAATGAAGTTTGTCAGATACTGAAATCAATTTTGAATTAAGCTAGGAATATTAATTTAATTTACCCCAAGTAAGTAAACATTGTATTTGAGGACAATTAAATAATTAGCCAAAAAAATTGTGCAAAGAATGTGTGATAAATTGAATTCCCGCCAAATAATGTGATGTGCATCATGTCAATTCAAATGGATCTCTTTAATAATAGAGGAAAAAAGGAAAGCAAGTGACAAGAGTGCTATTATACTAGAGTCTTTTCTTTTGTTAAATCTACCAAAAATTTGGTACTCATTTATTCTCTCTCTCTCTCTCTCTCTCTCTCTCTCTCTCTCTCTCTCTCTCTCAAAGAACATATACTCAATTTGCACCATTTTCTTTGTTAGTGATGCTTTTAATTATGTAATTAGTTATGCTCAATACTTTTCCAATCACCTAACATTTCTAATGAACATTGAGATGCTAGTTTTTGTTTGGATTCAATGGTAGCAAAAACTTTCAATCAATGAGGTGAAAAAAAAAAGAAAAAAGTAAATGAAAGGACCATGGTGTAGGCTTTATGTAATATTTAGGGCACAAAAGTTAGTGGAATGCATCCAAGGAAAATCACTTTGTAGAACAATTATTATTAGGGGTTGTCTAGGGCCCGAGAGGGTTGTAATTCTCGGACCGTAATCTTCCAATGAAACTACGCCACATAAGATAAGTAGGAACCTAGTAAAAAATTGTACGATATGTGGCTAATATGTAAATTATCAAAAAGAGACAAGTTCTTAAGGTTAAGGAAGCAATGGTAGTCAATTATTTCTTGAATCCCCACATATTAAGAGAGTTTATGGAGATACGTTTATGTTATAACTTTTGTTCTCACATTATTTTCGATTGAATTCATGAACTAATGAATATTTAGATTATTAATTTGAATTTAAGGTTAAAAAGGTAAATAGCGTGAAGTACGATGGGTGTATGATCTGAGTATGATGTGTTTTGATAGGTACATACAATAATTGATGGGGTCTTGGTATCGTACTGCATCTGTACACCAAATCAATGAACAAGATCTTTTGCCAAGTAATTTAAACGGCTTAGATTAATTTTTGTAGGGTCCGAGAAGTACATCCCTCTCGGTCTCGGACCCTAGCTAGACAACCCCTTATGACTATCCTTTAATTTGAACAATTCCTCTATTTTACTGTACAGTAGAATATTGATAAACTAATAATCTTGTTTAAATAATATTTTTTTCCGATCATGGCTCGGACAATATGTTAAATTAATAATTCATTAAATTTTTATTAGAATTATCATTTTCAACTTCATCGTCAGTTTCCGTGAAAAAAAAAACTTCATCTGTTTCCATGATTTTATTGCATTTAGTTACCCAGTGTTATATCGAATTGCCAAAAAGTCCTCGTTTTTTTAAATATGAGCAAAAACATCCATATAAACTCCCTAAATGGTGAGTTTTTAAGGGATTATTTGCTGCAAAAATCCTCGTAAAACACATGGGTGCTTAATCCAATAACCCCGGTAAAATAATCGACACGTTTACATGTAATATTTCTATCGGATAATCATGTACTGTACAGTGGATTTTTGCTAATATTTCTATGCTGATTAGTGATTATTGCAAGGTTGCTCTTTTCTGCGCTGCATGTACATTTAATATTCTCGATCATACTCGTAGAAAATCGGTTTTCTATCTTGCTGGATTTCGTGTATTGTTTCAATTCTGAAGTTGATTTATGCACATGAAAACGAGATGTAAAAAAGAAACATGACACAATAATGTATTCAATCAATACAGTAAGTGGAAAGTTGAAAGAAATCACCAAAATACATCATCAATTTTCCATACAATAACATATGCTAAAATAGAAATCAAAGGGCAAAAACAAGTAGCCAAAACAATAAAATATCACGAGACTAACTGTATTTGGAGGTCGAGCACATCATTTGGCTTTCTCATCATCGCCTGAAAAACGAACCCGCAATCCACACTTAATGTTGCGGTAACGCTTTCGTTGCTTTTCTATTCCCACCGTAACTTCTTTCCGGCAATCATGCACCTCTATCTCTTCAAGTGATTTGCTACCTGCAAAATCAGGAGGGATCTCTTGCAAATTGTAGCAGTGCCTAATAACCAGGCGCTCGAGTGATGGGAAGTGGTCCCTCGTGGAATCCCACCTCTTCAAATCCAAGTCTTCTAGCAGCAGGTACTTCAGGTCGGAGAAACACCAATCTGACGTTTCCCACACGGGACCGCAGAAGGCATACCATCGCAATTTGAGCGTTTCAAGATGTAACAAACAATTTAGCGCACGCATGTACGACCACGAGAATCCACATCCACTCAGACTTATCTTTTTCAAAAAGAGAGGGAACTGGATCGGCACCGAAGTAACGTTTTCCGGAGACCTTATAAGGCTAGGATATACAACAACGCATTTGAATGACTCGATTTCTCCATACAGATTGGAAAATTGATCACCACCAAGGAAACTGAAGGTCTCAACTGAATCGTGTGCTGACTCAATCTTGATCCCTATTTTCTTTAGGTTGGGGATTCTTGCAAGCACTCCCACTGTAACACTGTGAGCGCTCACGCCAGAAAGAGTCAAAAGCTTCTCTACGACAAGAGAATCATCGTCTGCAGAAGTAGGATCTGGAAGGTCCAACCCCATGCACTGGAGGTGTTTCAGCTTATGCAACTTCCAAATCTCTATAGGCAGATAAACGGGTAAATTCGACCGTTTGATGTTGTTATGTTGACTGACAATCAAGACTTCAAGGTTCCAAAGACATGATATGGAAGAAGGGATCTCTCCATCGTATGTGATGGCAAGGTACTTTAAGTGAACTAGTTTGACTACTTGGAGCGGGAACTCGTAAAAGCGGATCGAAACCGCATCTAGTACCTTGAGCAATCTAAAACCCAAGTACAAAGCAATCGGATATGGTTGTTTTGGACCGAAGCAGAGAAGAGAACGTGCATTTGGAATGGATTCCATCCAGCTATGCACTTGTTCGAAACCGAGAACAATGTTATTGTGGAAGCAGAACCGGTTCTGGCTATCTAACTTCTCCGGGAAACTGAAGTCGGCATACTTCTTTATGACGTAGAA